GTTGTATCTGGTTGTTTGAGACAGTTTCTTTATTTAACCCTGAAACTAGCTCTGTAGATTAGGGTGTCCTGGAACTCACAGAGATTTGCCTGCCTCTGCATCCCAAGTGCTGGGATTAAAGGCATGTGACACCATTACCCAGTGAGAGTGCATATATTTTAAACTAGGCAAAAATATGGATTTTGAAGATATTTGTTAAGAGGCATATTCAAGGGTGAACCCAAATTTGGCAATAAAATAATTAAAGTAAACATTGAATCTACCAATATAAATGGCTAAAAATAAATTCACATTCAGATCTAATAATTGATGATAGTTCTACAAGAGTTTCCATTTCAACCCATTTGCTGTTCATTCAGTTATACTTTATAAATATTCTTTTTCATATTAATAAAGGAAACACCTTTATTGGCTCTAGAAAAGTGATTAAATGAAATTTATTTCACCCTTAATTTTACAGATACCACTTCCAGGTAGCCTAGGTCTGCATGAGTCCTTTATTTTCACGTAGTTTGGTGGCTTTGTCATTTTCTTCAATCATATTTTTAAGAATTTGAATATATTACCTCTATTGCCTGGCGCTGCAAAGGTCAATGGGTTTTGCCATATGCATAGTGTGTTTAATCATACAGGATAGTTTCACCACCCTAAATCAGTATTCTGTTCTTTGGTCAACCAGTTCCTGAAGAATGCTTGGTAACCAATGCTAGGTTTTGCTCTTTTTGTCATTTTGACTTTTCCAGAATGTTGCATATTGGGGTCAGATAAAGTAGCCATTTCAGACTGAGCATTGGGATCAGATGATAACATGTAGCCATTTCAGATTGGTTTCTTTCACTTAGCAATATTCATTTAAAATACAACCATGTTTATTCCTATAGATTGATAGTTTATTTATTGTTGTTGCTGATTTCCTTTTATGCCTGCCACTGAGTATTACAAAGTTTCATAAGCAATTCTATGGAGAAAATATGGTTAGCAGCACAGAAACCATTTAATGCAGTTTCAAAACATTAATCTCATTCTTACATCTGATGGAAAAACTCAAAAATTAATCACAGATTATAAAATTAGTCATTTTCAAAAAAATCTTCATAATGTGACTTAAAGAGTTCTTGGATGGAATTCTGGAACTATAAATAATAAAACAAGTCTGTAAATTTGGCTTCCCAAAAATTAAGAAAAAACATTACTTATATAAAAATACTATTTTCAGAATGAATGGACTATCTATAATACAGAGTCCAATGGAGTCCAATGGAATATATAATTCCAAACATTGCTTGAAACCTAACAATGAGAAAGTAAGCTACAACTACCACCTTAGCAAATGTCAAATTGACATTTCATCCTGAGTTGTACTTGCTCAACAGCAGGGAAGTCTTGCCTGGTGTCAGAAACCCAGCGAACAACTCTGGGGTAGTGAAGTCACAGATTTGGGAGGAGAACCTATAACTACCACTTTGCTAAACCAACATAATTCCTAATTACATTCCAAATTTTTGTCCTTATATTCCTAGATAAGTGTCATTTTCATCCATCATCAAAGAAACTTCTCATTATAATAGATGGAGAACTGCATAAAACTGCACCCAACCAAAATGCAGAGATGTACCAGAGATCCATAACTGGACAATGCATAGAGAGCAAGAGATTTTGGAGCACTCATTCCTGACAGAAGGATTCATTAAGGAGGAAGCTTTGGAGGAGGCTAAGGAGGAAGCTGAAAGATGTAAGAGAGTTAGCTGTGGAAATATTTAGAGAAAACACATTTTAAGAAGCGGTAAAGACTGCATCTGAAATTTTATAAGAGCTCTAAAGATACATATATGGTGAATGTCAAACAAATGAGCTAGAGAATTGTAGAGCAGTTTTGAGAACTGCATGGCAAGTATTTGCAATTCTTTCAGGTAATAGAGGTTCTTTTTTAAAAAATTGCTTTTATTTTTGATATTATAATTGCATTACTTCACCCTTCTCTTTCCTCCCACCAAATATGTCCACACAGCCCTCCTTGTTCTCTTTTAAATTAATGGTCTCTTTACTTATTAATCATTATTTCATGCATACATATGCATGTACATACATATATAATCCTAAACATACCTTGCTCACTCCATATACTGTTGCTTGTGTCTATGTTTTCAGGGCCAACATTTGGTGTACTCTTCCCAAGGGAAGATATTTCTCCCACTCTAAGCATTTCTTAGTTGCCTATAGTTGTTTTGGTAGGGTTGAACTCCCCCTATTTTTTGGCATGTCTATTGTGGCCCTTACTCAGCTCATATTAGGCAGTCAAGTTGGAGAGATTCGTGTAGTTTCTGTCATCACAAGGGTCACAGAGCACACTCCTAATCCTCTGGTTACTACAATCATTTTGCCCCACCTTCTGCAATGATCCCTGAGCCTTAGGTGACAGATTTCTTTTGTTGATGTATGCATTAGAATTTGAATCCACATCTGTGCTTTTTTTCTTTTCTAAACTATTTTATTGAATTTTTTTTCTCACAATATTTTTTTGGCCATGTTTTTCCATCCTCCAATTCCATACAACAAAAATGTGTAAACTAACCAAAAATGGGACAAAACAAATCTAAAAAATACCATTGAGTTTGTTTTTTGTTTTTCCAAGTACTCCTGGGATGGGATCTTCCCTGAAGTGTAGTTAATATACCCAGTAAGACTCCACTGGAGAAGCTACCTTTTCCCTTTGCCTGCAGGGATCAACTGTAGTTAGCCTCTTGGTCAGGGGTGGGAGCCTGTGTAAACTACCCCATCTCGGTTCTCGTAGCCCATCTAAATTGTGAATGCTGCCACATTCTGTGAGTTCATTTATAAATATTTTATTAATTTTGATAAACTGATACAATACATTTCTACCATTCTCACCCTGGACTTCTGCCTTATATTCTCCACAGATCCACCCCTGCCTCACAGCCTCCTCTTCTTTATTTCCTCTTGTCTCTTTTAACTAAGTCATTGACGCTAGTGCATGTTGTACATATGCTATTGATATGCAGGCTTCCACTGAAGCATGATGGATTTACCAGGGGATACAATTGTGAAGACAACTGACTCTTCCTTCCACAGGAGTTATCTATAGCTCTTTAGTTAGGGGTTTGGGCTAAGTTCTCTCTGCCTACTCCTTTGTGGAATGTTGCTATTACAAAAATGTCCTGAAACAATCTCTCTGAAGCACATAGAATTTTTAAAAGCACTTTACAAGCTATTTAAGTTATTGATAAGTAGTTTTTAACAGCTAAACAATTTAAAATCCTTGGTGGTCATTATAGCCCATCTTTAATTTACATTATGTTGTATAAACTGCCAAATGCTTTTGAAACTAAGCAATACAATGTTAACAAAGCTGCCTCTTTCATAATTGTGTCTCAGGACATTCTAAGGGTCTTATTGAAGGGGAGTAGATCATCATTCATTGGCATGCTCTCAAAATAGTACAGGCTCACAGTAGATCAGTAGATGGCCCAAATAGGATCTTTTTTGTTGTTGTTGTCAAATAAATTGTTCTCATAAATTAAAGCATATACACACACTGAAAGGTAATGGAACATAATGGAACATAATGGCCATGTCAGCTACAGACACTGGTGAAATGACTTATATCCAACACAGATTCATTTCTACACATAGAGAATAAGGTGTTTGGTTTGTTGAAAAAGATAAAGAATCTTATGATAGAAAATGAAGCAACTTATAAAAGCCACACAATAAGCAAGGTTAAAATACACAGGATTGAAGAAAATTTAAAGAAGTTGTTAGATAGCTTGAAGAATAGGTTATATAATTTTGTTATTATAATGAGAATCGATATGGAATCAAAGAGGTGATAGCTTTTATCAAAGATGTGGCTGGTACACAAATAGATACCTTGAGCCTCTAGAGGAAATAAAACAATATTCTATGATGACATGAAACAACAAAAGAGGGAATTGTCGTGTGATAAATGGGAAAACTGAGTTTATAAAGATCCCTGTCAGCTGTAGCCAGAATTTCTTGGAGGTATTTTCATGTAAATGCTCTGTAGGAGAGTGTTTGAGAATGTTAGCATGGCTTGTTCAAGGCCCTGGATTGATTTCCAGCATTGCCAATAAGGTTTGTAAATATGATTAGAAAGTCGTTAAGGACTAAGAGTTTATTTTAACAGCAAACTTTGGTGGGTCATGGCAAGTGTTACTGTCTCAAAGCAGATCCACACCAATGCATGCTGAGACTGGCCCACATAAATCCAATCCATGCTGAGGCTGGCCCACACCAGTGTGCCCTGAGATTGGATTTGACCCTGGCACTGTTGTTGCAGAATCCGATGCAGTTTGATTCCCTCATTTCTGTTCTCATTCTTTTTGCTCTTCATCTTTATTATTTCAGATTCCAGTCACAGAGACTTCAAACTTTACATGCCACTGTAATCATCCACTTTGATGTTTTGATTCTTTTTCTTTTGATTTTTTTTATTGGATTAAGTGTAGGTAATAATCTCTAGTACAAATCTACTCTTTCTAAACTCCATCATTGTATTAGGAAGTAAATTCCCAACTCTTGTCTGGTTTTCTTCCATCAGACACAGAATTTAGAAAGATAGTTTAAATATGACAACAAATAAATGCTAGCAGATGATTCTCCTCTATTTCTAGTTTATTCCTGATCATTAATTTCTAACCATTGATGAAATAAATTTATAAATAAATGAGCATTTTATCTACCTCAGACTTTTAAAATTTTCTGAAACAACTAAAATACACACACACACACACACACACACACACACACACACACACACACGGGGTGGGGGGGTTGGTAGAAAGAGAAGAAGGGATAGAGGAAGGAAAGAAAATATTTTTATTTTCTTTGAAATTCAAAATGAACTAAGGAAATAAATGGCATCAATAGATATAGTTTCATTATAATTTATTTTAAATAACCAGGAAGCATTTATCAAAAATCATCCAAATTAGTTACAAGAGCAACTTTATTCAAAAAACAATGAAGAGTGACTTTTTAACAAACACCAGTCTTTCTTGGAATCTAGGGCTTGGGAGAAAAGAGGGGACTGAGCAGAAATAGTACTACAGATAGCTATGGTCTATGTTTTATATTAGATTAAAACTGTCGGAATGATCTCCATCAACACATAGGAAGCATGAGGTAAGACCTTTTGGCCCATTTCTGTTTCCTAGGCTGTTCATAGATGGCTCTGATACAGCAAGCTGTGGTAATCATCTTTTTCCATGAGGAGTGGTTGTCTTTCTTCCTGGAGCTGCCTCTTCTTACGACAGCACAGACAACTGCTGAGCCCTGTCAGAGCTACAGCAACAACAGCTCCCACCAGTGCTGCCCCAAGGAGCCATGGCCAGATCCTAGTTGCTTGTTCCAAGTAAGGCTCAATATAGTTTCTGTAAAAGCCTGGATCTGAAATAGAAAGAGATCAAGCATCATTTTGGTGGTATATTGGAGTCAGATGGTTGGTGTGAAAGCAAGCTCTTTTACTTACCAAACAAAGTTTGTGGGAAGTTAATCTAATTCTTCAGGCTCAGTTTCCTCATTAGGAAGACAGGAAAGCAAGTCTCGGAAAGTTGTATAGTACCCATGATGTGTAGTATTGTTAGCTATAATTGTTACAACCCCTTCTGGTGATTGTGTAATAGTGCTGCAGATCTACATAACACTTTTATTATCAACTATTGATGTCCTGTTTGATCATTAAAAGTATTTGAGAAACACTATTCTCCTGATTAAGTTCAGTGGTCTCAAGAAGTCTAGGACAGTTGTATAATATCTGTTTTTACAGCAATTTCAGCTTTCAATTATTGTGGTGTGTGATGTATGTGGGCATGTGCACGCAGGTGCCACAGAAGCCAGAGGAATGCATGGGATCCTCTGAAGCCAAAGATATATGAGCTGCTCATATTGGTACTGGGATTTGTACTCTTTCCTCTACAAGAAGACCTAGCTCCCTTAACTCCTGAGAAATCTCTAGCCCCACAGCTTTCATTCTTTTTCTTTCTTTCTTTTTATTTATTTATTTATTTATTTATTTATTTGTTTAATTTTACATGTCAATCCCAGTTCTCTCTCCCTCCCTTTTTTCCTCTTCCTACCCAATGTCCCTCCTCACATGCAACCTGACCACCCTCCCCTCCCCACCCCAATTCAACATGTAGGGCAATGCCATCCAGGTGGGGTTATGTAGATCTGACAGGTCATTTGAGGTATGGACTAGGACTTCTCTCCTGTCTCTAGGTTAAGGCAGTATCTCTCCATGGGGGATGTGCCCACAAGGTCCTTTTGTGCACCAGGAATACATCCTGGTTCCACTTTCTGAGGTCCCTTAGACTGCTCGGGCCTTCTAGCTGAGACCTATGTTCAGGGGGTTCTGAGTCAGTCAGTCCCATGCTGGATTCCCAGCTATCAGTCTGGGGGCCCATTAGCTCCTCCTTGTTCAAGTCAGCTGTCTCTATGTGTTTCCGCAACATGGTCTTGTCCTCTCACTCTGCCTCTGTTGTTTTTGCTATACTGTTTTTTTTTCTTCTTCTTCTTTTTCTTTTTCTTAAAATATTTAGTAGTTTGCTTTCAAGGCCTGAGAAGAATTGTTCTAGGATTTTGCTGTGGATTGCACTGAATCTGTAGATTGCTTTTGGCAATATTGCCATTTTACTATGTTGATCTTACCTATCCAAAAACATGGGAGATCATTCCATTTTGTGGTATCTTCTTTAATTTCATTTTTAATAACTCAAATTTCTTGTCGTACAGGTCTTTTGCAGTTTGGTTAGAGTTACCTGATGATATTTTATGTTGTTTGTGGCTATTGTAAACAGTAAATTTTCTCTGATTTCTTTCTCAGCCCATTATTATCAGTGGGCTGATTTTTTTTTTTTTCAATTAATCTTGTATCCTGCCATTTTGCTGCAGGTGTTTATCAGCTGTAGGAGTTCCCTGGTAGAGTTTTTCTGGACACTTATGTAAATTATCATGTCATCTGCAAATAGTGCAAGTTTAACTTTTACCTTTCCTATCTGTATCCCTTTGATCTCTGTTTGTTGTCTTATTGTTCTAGCAAAAACTTCAAGTGCAATATTAAAAAGATATGGAAAGACAGGACAGCCTTGTCTTTTCCTGATTTTGGAAGAATCTCATTAAGATTTTCTCCATTTAGTTTGATGTTGGCTGTTGGTTTACTGTATATTGCTTTTATTACGTTTAGGTATGATCCTATTATCCTTGGTCACTCCAAGACCTTTGTCATGAAACGGTGTTGAATTTTGTTGAAGCCCTTTGCAGCATCTAGTGAGATAATCAGGTGTTTTACTTTTTTTAAATTTCAGTTTATTTATGTGGTGGATCTCATTGATTTATTTATATATGTTGAACCATCCCTGCATCTCTGAGATGAAGCCTACTTGATCATGGTGGATGATTTCTCTGATGTGTTATTGGATTTGATTTGACAGAGTTTTATTGAGTATTTTTGCTTCAATGTTCATGGTGGAGATTGGTCTTTAGTTCTCTATCTTAGTTTTGTTTGGTTTGTGTACCAAGATACACAAAAAGATTTGGCAATGATTTTTTTTTTTTTTGCTTCTATTGTGTGGAACAATTTGATGAGTATCGGTATTAGTTCTTCTTTAAATGTCTGGTTGAATTCTGCACTGAAATCATCTGGCCTTGTGTTGTTTTACTGTTTTGTTTTTGTTGGGAGACTGTTGATAAATGCTTCTATTTAGTTAGCAGTTATAGGTCTATTTAAATTGCTCATCTGATATGATATATATATATATATATATATGTATATATATTACATATCGATCCAAGTTCCCTCACTCTCCTTCCCTTCCTTGTTCTCTGCCATCCTTCTATGCCACCTGACCACCCTCCCATCCCACCTCCCCCACTCCACAGGTAGGGTGATGTCAACAAAATCTGTCAAGTCATTTGGCGTAGGATCTAGGCCCTCCCTCCTGACTCTTGGTTAAGGGAGTATCCCTCCATGGGAAATTTGTTCCCAAAGTCCTTTTGTTCACCAGGGATACATCCTGGTTCCACTGTATATGGTCCACTAGACTGCCAAGACCTTCTAAGACCCATGATCAGGGGTCAGAGTCAGTCCAATGGTGGATTTGCAGCTATCAGTCTGGGGGCCTATTAGCTCCTACTTGTTCAGGTCAGCTGTTTCTATGTTTCTGTAGCCCGGTCTTGTCCTCACTCTCTGCATCTGGAGTCCAATTTGGCTCAGTGTTTAGTTGTGGGTGTCTGCTTCTGTTTCCATCAGCTACTAGATGAGGGTTCCATGATGGTGGATAAGTTAGTTGTTGATCTCATTAAGGGAAGGGCATTTATAGTAGCCTTTCAACTGTTACTCAAATTGTTAGTTGGTGTCAGTCCTGTAGGTCTCTGGACATTTCTCTAGAGTCACTTTTCTCTTCAAACCTATAATGGCTCCCTACTTTATGGTATCTGTCTCACTCTCTCTTTTTCTCTCATATATTCCTTCTCTGAATCAAACTTCCTAGTCCCACCTGCTTTCCTCCTCTCCCCTTCTCTTTCTCCTAGTTCCTTCTTCACTTACTCCCCGCCTCCCCTGACTCTCAATGTGATCAGGAGATCTTGTTCCTTTCCTGTTCTGTGAGGGACCTTGGGTGAATCTCTTAGATTCCTCCTATCAAAATTTCTTTCGTTGGCAGGAAAAAAAAAAAAAAAAAAAAAAAAAAAAAAAACTACTGGTAACATGGTGCAGCTGAGAATTTGAACTGGAAAGATGGCTCAGCATTTAAATGCTAGGCTTACAACCAAATTTGACTTTTAATTTCATATGTTTCTTATAAGCATTTCAGTACTAGAAGCACAAAACATCTAAATTCTTAATCCTGTCAGAATGGCTAAAATTAGAAACACCAATGACAGTTTATACTGGAGAGGATGTGGAGAAAGGGGAACACCCTTACATTGCTGGTGGGAGTGCAAGCATGTACAGCCATTTTGGAGATCAGTATGATGGTTCTTCAGTAAAATGGGAATCAGTCTACCACAAGACCCAGCAATCCCACTCTTCGGCATATACCCAAATGATCCACATCCATGCAACAAAAACATCTGTTTAACTGTGTTCATAGCAGCAATATTTATAATAGCAAGAACCTGGAAGCAACCTAGATGCTCCTCAACTGAAGAATGGATAAAGAAGATATGGCACATTTACACAATGGAATTCTACTCTGTGGGGGGGAAAAACAATGGCATCTTGAAATTCACAGGCAAATGGATGGAACTTGAAGAAACCAACCTGAATGAGGTAACCCAATCACAAAAAGAGGAACATGGTATGTACTCACTCATATATGGATTTTAGACATAGAGCAAAGGATCAGAAGCTTATAAATTCACATCACCAGAGAATCTAGGATACAAAGAGGAAACTAAGAGATTCATACAAGGTCCCTCACAGAATAGAAAAGGAATAAGATCTACTGAACATATTGGGAGTCTGGGGGTGGGGTGAGTGAAGAAGTTAGGAGAAAGAAAAGGGGAGGAGAGGAGAACATGTGGGACCAGGAAGATTGGGTCAGTAGATGAATAGAGGAGAATGAAAAAAAAAGAGATACCATAATAGAGGGAGCCATTATAGGTTTGAAGAGAAAACTGACTAGAGAAATGTCCAGAGACCTACAAGACAGACCCCAACTAACAATTTGAGAAACACTGGAAAGGCTACCATAAATGCCCTTCCCTGAAAATGAGATTGATAACTAACTTATATGCCATCATAGAGCCCTCATCTAGTAGATGATTGAAACAGAAGCAGACACATATAGCTAAACACTGAGCCGAACTCTTGGAATCCAAGAGCAGAGAAGGAGGAGTGATAAGAAATGGCGTCAAGACCAGGCTACAGAAATCTACAGAGAAAGCTGACCTGAACAAGGGGGAGCTCATGGATTCCCAGACTGATAGCTAGGAAACAACTCTAAATGTGGGTCTCAGTTAGAAGGCCTGGGCAGTCTAAAGGACCTCTGACAGTGGAATCAGGATATATCCCTGGTGCAAGAAAAGACTTTGAGATCACATTCCCTATGGAGGGATACTCCCTTAGCCTAGCTGCAGGAGGGAGGGCCTAGATCCTACTCCAAATGACTTGATAGATTTTGATGATCCCTCCTGGAAGGCATCGCCCCCCCCCCCGTGGAGGGATGGGGAGTGGGATGGGAGGGGAGGTCTGGGGGCATGGGAGGGAGTGGTAACTGGGATTGATATGTAAAATAAGAAAGAATAATATATAAGGGGAAAAAAAGAAAAATTGTGGTTGTGTGTTTGTGTGTGTGTGTTTGAAGACAATGTTTTGGTGATAATGAACAATGAGTTCACTAGAAGTAATCTGAACAAAATATATTGTAATAAGATATACGTCTTTGTGTGTGTGTGTGTGTGTGTTTGTGTGTGTGTCTGTGCATGTAATAATAAACAATGTATTTACAATGTTATGGTAGTTAAAATGAAATCTGTCCCCAGGAGCCTCAAGTAATTGAATACCTTGGCTCTAGTTGGTACACTGTTTGAGGGGTATTAAGGAAATTTTATGATGTGAGAATTGCTGGAATAAATACCTCAATGGGGGCACAATTTGATTATTCATGGCTTCACCCCATTTTCAGTTATTGCTTACTTGTATTCTGTGTGTAGTTTAGATATTTTATATCAGCTTACTGCTCCAAACATCTGCTTCCATTCCTTACCATTATGGACATCAAGATTTCTGAAATCCTAAACTAAAAATATTCTTTCTTTCATAATTTTCTAGCCTCATCTTTAAACAGTTTTTTTCTGAAAGAAACGCATTTGCTACTCAGTTTTTAAAACACCACTAAATTTGAATACAAGAGAAAATATTTGACAAATTCAGACATTATATGCCCTTAACAACAAAATACTTAATTATCACCATGAATATCTAAATGATTAATAATGACACTCTTGAACTAAATTATTTCAAATAATTTCAAAGTGTCTTTTAGAAATTTCGCAGTTTAGCAATGAATAGAGTAAAACTTTAAGTACTTTGGATGCACAAAAGAAACAATAATAAAGAATGATTCATAAGGTAGATAGCCAAATTTGATCATTTATTTAAAATCAAACTTCTCTACAGCATTAACTATGTAAAGTCACAGCTGTATGAAAGCAAAATATATGTAAATTATTTAAAATTAATTTTATTTTAAAATACTTAGAATAAATATATTCCACCTTTCCTCAGGTAGAATATAAATATATTCTACCTTTCCTCAGAATCAGACCAATGGAACTTATAAATTATAGTTTGAAATATCTCCAACTATGTGAAACATAATTTCCTTAGGTTGTCTTGATTAATCATTTGTCACTTCAACAGTCAGGTAGACTACAACAGTACATAGTTTCTGCATGAAATAGGCATTTATTACGACTTATACCTTCTTTGTCAAACATGTATTAACATCATTCTACATAGCAAGATCAAAACTCAGAGCTAATTCTAGTCCCAAGGGTCTAACCAAAGGCATAGTAATTAACATTAAAAATTACTGTGAAGCTCATTATTAGTTGGTATTGAAAGTTCTCTTTATTGAATTGGTAATCATACCAAGAATCTCCCAGTTGTAGATCATAAACTGCTTACTTGTATCATGCTGCATGCACTGAATTATTTAACAAGGTTCAGAATAGTCATTCAGTTATTTTTATCTAAATATCTAACATGAGTAAACCGTGATTCTGAGAAATAAAACCATTCCCATAGATCAAAAAAGAGCTAACTGATAGAATTATGGCTCAGAAGCATCCTAATCCTATACTCTTCAATAATTTATTTGTACAAAATATTCTATAGTAGGTGGAAAAGTTATAAATTTAGGAATCCCTGAAATTTGGTTTATAAATGACAACAAATTGGTATAATATGGATTATTAATGAGTTTTGAGAAAACTTTGTATACCCACAGGATGTTTTTTACTATTCCAAATGAAGTTGAATATTAAGATTCTATAGTTCATCTGAAGATAGCTAAGTCTTACCTGGCTCTTGTAGATAGCTGTAATCATATCCCAGATCCTTGGAGGAAATGAAGAAGTCACCATTTCTGTAGAGTGGTATGAAAGGAACCATATAGGATTCTCTGTTATGGCCAATGGGTGCATTGGCTTCTGGGTAAACTTCCAGAAGAGGCCGGTGTCTTCGGAGCCATTGTTCAAAAATACTATAGAGGGAAGGATTATTCAGACTCAGTAATATTTTATTTATAAGATCAATATTTTGAATTCTTAGAAGACAACTGTTAATATCCCAAGACATGAACAAATGCTATCTTCAAACTCTAACAAATTACCATTTCATATCCTAAAAAAGATTACTCATCAGAAATTAGAGTGAGGATAACTTCAGGCTTTTCCTAATGAAAATAATTAGATTTTATTGTCAGTTTAAGTTTCCAGAATGCAACTTTGGGTTGCATGGAATTTAGCTGTACTCAAACATTCCCTACAAGTTTTTACAAACGCAAGGAGAGTCAAAATAAATGTCATATAAAACTAATTTGCCAAAGTACTAGAATTTATTCTTGTTTGGTTTGTGGTGGTTATTTCAACCTTTATCTTTTTGGGAAAGGTCATGTTTTTTGAGGCAGAGGCTACCTTCAATGATACAGGGTGAAACTGTCCATTTCCATCTTCCCCTAAAGATCTTATGTGACCACATGATTAATCAGCAGGCATTAAGATAAAACCGGCCTGGAAATAGGAAGCAATGACACAAAGAAGCAAAGACAATGGGAATCCACCTTAGTAGTGAGCAATGGCAGTCTTTGAAACATCCAGTTTTCATGGACAGCAAAACTAGTTGCACCATGAAAGAAATCTATTCTGTACTGTTCTGTTCTTGAGAATGTGTGCTCTGGCATTTGTGGATGTTGCTCTGTTAATTCTCGTTAGTCTCTGAGTTTGTTACACAATAGTTTTGAGAGCTAGCTAAAACCCTTTCAACAAACTTTCCTATTAAAATGAGACAAAGTTTCTGGTTGGTACAATTAAAACACGTTAAAATGGATCAAAGAGTAAATAAAATGAATAAATATTCAGCCAGTAAGAGAATTTATAGAGAGACATTACAAGTATGACCAAAAAAAAAAAATTGATTTGTGTTACAAGAAAGTGTACCATGGGAGTATGGATGAAATTCAGGAACTTTCTTTGAGCAATATTTTCATATTCTAATTACTCATGACTAAAGAAATAAACTACTGAATATATTGGAGACATAGTCACCTCATCCCTATAATACAACAGTTCCAAAATCCAATGTGATAATGTTTCTATGAAAGTGCCAAATAAGTAAATTACTGCTAATTTTAAATTTTGTCTTAGTAAATCAGAAGTTAGTTCATGGTAAAGAAGAAGTTGAATAAAGGAAGAATGTTAATGCTTGAACAAATAAAAGACAACTTTAACAGTTTAAAATGCACCAAACAAAACAAGAAAACCAAATAGAATGAACACAACAATTTTTTTTTTCCTATGGTATAAAGCAATTTCGTCCACTAAAATCTGGGCTTCAACCAGTAGGTTGGATTTTCATCTATGCATTAATAAAGGATCAGAAGGTCATTGGTAAACAAAAATCTGGCCCATAAAGACCAATTTTTTTTAAATTTTGGTTTACTATTATATATATATATATATATATATATTATACCTATTGTAGGTTAACTTATTTTCTCTTCAAGATGGGCATGAAGACACTGTGCAGATTAAACAGTACCAGTCACAGAGGGTTTATTAAATGGTAACATCTTCCATATTACCCCTCTTGCTCATCTTCTCCCTTATTAGTATCAATATACTTGGAAAACTTTACAATTGGTGGAGAAAATGAAATATGCTATGACAGAAATATAAAAACCATCTCTGATGAATATTATTCTTCTAGTAGGCAGAATTGGGAAATAGGAGGCTTTTAAAAGATTGATTTACTTTGGCTCTCAGATTTCTCAACTGATAAAATCAAAACTGGCTTAAATGCACCAAATTCTACGTAAGACTTATCATATTGTGAATATTTTTAATATTAGCTTATACTAGTATCCTCAAAAGAATGTTACTTGTTAATGGCATGCAATTTTGAAAACACATAGAAGCCAAAGAATGAAAAATACACATGCTTATTGAGGTATGTCCATATAGTATTCTGTATATTCTTGACCCAAAGAAGATATTAAATGATTGTTTTTATATCTAAAACATTTATTTAAATCCATATATTTTCAACTACTAAATATATTTTCAAAAATAAGGAGAATCTTTGACAATAATCTTTGTACAATCCTCACTACATTTTGATATAAGAAGAGGCTAATATGTAGTAAGTCATTAGACTGAGACTGGAGGTAAAATTTGTACCTGATGTCAATAGAGAAAAATTACCATTATATTTTAATTTATAAATAATTTTGTATCTATCAATAAATAAAAACAAAGAATTTACCCAAGTAGGACAAGAGCATCAATCCTTAGCACCATATTTTAATGGATGAGACCATTAATCTACTTATTACCTTATCAACCTTTGAAAATGAAGACATTAGTCTCGATTAAAATTTGCAGTGGTAGTTCTCCTTTTCAATTAACTTCATCAAACTGTGTCTAGAATGGCTCCCATTGAAATATAACAGTAAATTGAATAACTGTACTGACAGTTTGGGATCAAATCTTACTGAAAATTTATTCAACGTGAATCTGGGTAGACTTCTGAAAGTCTGACAGATAGTCGGATAGGCAATGTAGAATTAGGAAAAGCTTATCATACAAATATGTAATGATCTGTTTCACAGATAAGACTAATATAGAATATTTTGTCCCAAGTCTTCTTTACTGCCCCAAGTCCTTATTTACTGTTGTCCATACCATAATATAAATAAAATGTGAAAATTATCAGTTTTTCTTGAACCCATACAAAAAAATCTAAGTTTGGGGACAAATTGATGACCCTAAAGAATATTGTGAAAATATGCCACATTCAGCTGGATCCATGAAATGGTAGTAACACCTAAACTTTTTCAGGAACATCTGGAGATGTCTTGTAGTCAGGGGCGATAGTGATACATTTCTGGGGCAGGTGTCGCAGGGGAATTACAGCTTACATTATGACTTTCCATCCAGGAAATCACGAAGTTTTGACGATGAAGACCCAAGATTCTTGTTTGACTCTCTCCATGCTCATAGCAAGCAATCGTCACGAAATATATTGACAGCATTTTCCAATTGAAGGTGATTTTGAGATTCTATTAGCTCTGAAAAGGGGGGGGGGATTGCTCCCAATATATCCTCTGTCCTTGTCTTATTCAATGAGTAAAATAGAACAAGAGACTAAGACCTCCTTCTATTTTTTTTTTTTTTTTTTTTGCTGTAGCAAGGGGAGAGAGAATGGATAGGATGAGAAGGGTTTAGAGAAACATTTTCGTAGCGCATAGCACCCAAACCCTGGTGCAGTGAAAGTTACAATATTTTTAGAATATATTATATGACTTCCTAGCTCTCAAACTGTATCATCACATCAACAAAGGTACAATGTCACAAGCATATATTCCACCTAGAGGAACTATAATGTAATGTAAAAGTTCTTAAGGAAAGTCCAAAGCCAAGGGAAGAGACAAAAGTACTAACAAAATTTTGCTAAAACAACTACAGTAAAACAATTTAAGAAAATTGGATGCATCAAAAAAGTAATATGAATCCTCACACTGTGTATTTACCTCAATTTACAAAAACCAAATATTAAAGAATGTCAAAATTAGGAAAAATTGTCTGAAAAGACAAAGCAATCATCAGAATCTCAAATGTCATGTATACTTTGGGATTAGCAAACATTTAATTCAAAAGTATAATAATAATATGCTGAGTTAACACGGAAATATATATAGTTCATAAGAGAAGAAAACATATGAAAACTCTAATTGTAAAGGAACATCAGACATTAAAAATAACCCTCAACAGAAATGAAAGTTGTCTACTATGAATTGATTAGTAGACAAAGTAGTTGAGGAATAAATTAGGAAACTTAAAGATGATTTAGTAGAAGCTTACCAAACCAAAATATAAAAAGAAAGAGATCAAACAAGAGAGTTGGAGGGAAGAAAGAAGAAATTTAAAAATACCACAAATGAGAATTGTTGAAGAATTTGAAAGATATAGTGTAAGCATATTGGAATATTTGAATATAAGAATCGACAAAACAGGCTAGATACACTCCAACAAAAGAACCAGGTCATTTTTGAGGAATGGGAGATCCATGCATCCAGTGAGTATGAATACCTCATAGTGCCATGAAGTATGAATGAAGTGGGGAGGGAGAGATAGAATATTAAGAAGGACAGAGGAGCCAACTGAAATTCTTCCCAATTACTAAAGATCAAATAATTTAAATTAAAATACTAAGTAGTTTTGGCTTATAAACAAAAATATAAAATAAATTAGGTATTTTCATACTAATATAAATGAACAATAATAGGGGTAATACATACATTTGCCATATGAAATACTCTCAAATAACTGTGGAGGTGACAACAGACTGAAAATAACCAACACATTGCTCTCTGCTTAAAGGCAGTACACAAGGACTTTCTGAAAGATGCAATATCAGATAGCAGAGGGACTTAACATTTTGAGGAATCTGTCATCAACCACCTCATACAGACATATGTTAACATTAACAGTAATCAGTTTATTATGCATTCCTGATGTGATATGAAGTGAATGGTGCTTTTTGTGATATTTTAGAACACAAAAATTGATTCCAATGGAACAACATCAGAGACGTCCTATTGAGGGGCATTATACAAAATCTGTGACTAAGATAAGAATGCCTAGAATAATAAATCAAAATGTGAAAAACTCTTACAGCCTAGAAGCTCCTAAGAAGTCTTGGTGATTAAAGGTATTATAGGGTACTAGTCAGGCTACCAGCCAAATAATGACATTAGGTGACTTCCAATATGAATAAAGCATGGACGTTATATAATTGTAATTTATTAGTGTAAATTTACTTACTGCCATAATTGCTTCATACTCTTTAAAATGTTATTGATATGATAACATGGTGTGGTACATGTAAAAGCACAATATCTTGTGTAATTATATAAACTACTTTAAAACAAAAAATATTAAATACAATTAAAACAGTTGGATATTTAAGAGACAACCTGCTTTA